TTAGTGCCGTGGACCTCCATGTGTCTGTTGTTTAGTGAATTTGTCACCAGTCTTCTAGTCTTGTTTCATTGCTCTTTGCATTGTTCTTGCTAGCATGTTTGAAAAGAAATGTCAGAAGTTGACTCATTTTACCATATAGGTCTTTAGAATGTTTAAAACTTAAAAAGTAAGTAAATACTAGTAATCCTGTGTGTGTGTGTGTGTGTGTGTGTACAAGTGATGTGGGTATATAGGCCCACATACCATGACACACACAGAGGCCAAAAGACAACTTGATGGAGTTGGTTCTTTCCTTCCGCCTTCTAGGGTGTAAGGCTTATGCAGCAAGCACATTTACCATCTCACCAGCCCCTATAATATGTCTCTAACCAGTAAGACCTTTTATTTAAAGCAAAGCAAAGCAAATAGCAAAAACTGAAACATTACCCCACTATCACTTCTAACAGAAGCACAGATTGTCAGATTGTCATTCTATGTTCTTTTCCCAGTTGTTTTGAGATGTCTTTTTCTTTCCTTCCTTCCTTCCTTCCTTCCTTCCTTTTTTTTTTTTTTTTTTTTTTTTTTTTTTTTTTTTTTGCTAAATTCATCCAAGTAAAAACTTAAACAAGGACAACACACTAATGATTTCATTTAGCTAAATTTTTAACCAGGGGCTAATATGTTCTTGTGTTTTCTCCCTTTCTCTTCCTCTTCTCTAAGCCAAGGGTGGTGGTGTCTGTCTTGGAGACAATTTGTGGCATCAAGCTAGGTGAGGCCACCCTGGGAGGTAACTTTGCCTCATGTTCTGTCTGTATCATGCACGCAGAGCAGGCTCTGACATGGCTGCTGACAGCACGGCAGCCTAAGCAACAGGGTTGGGCCTCTCTCTCCAAAGGAAGGAGGATTTGGGGTAATTTGTAGTAGTGCCTATTTCAGCACAAACTATTACTCTTCTTAGGCATTGCCTTGGGGGTTAAGGTTAGGTTGATGCAGCAAGGAGATATGTGGTGTAGGTAGAGTAAAATGTTTATGACGGTCAAGAAAAATCTGTATTGTTTTGTACAAATAGAGAAAAGGTGTACAGGCCTGATATTGGCTATTGTTTAATGAGCTTTTATCATGTGCTATATTAGTGGCTTAGTCTGCCAGAAGCAAATATCACATCTTGCATGGATTGAGCGAAAGAAATCTATTTTTTTTCCCTCACAACTTTGGAGTTTAAAAGTTCAGATCACAGAAATGGCAGGTTTGGTTCCTTCTGATGGTTGCAAAAAACACACTTGTGGACAACTCTCACCTGGTTTCTGGTGGTTTGCTGGCAATCTTTGCTATTCCTTGGCTTGTAGAAGCATCACTTTGTTCTGCCTTCATCTTCTCATCACGTTCTTCCCACGTACACAGTCAGTTCCAAATGTTCCTTTTTGTGAGGATGCTAGTCATTGGAATTAGAGTACTATCTTAGTGACTACCCTCTTAACTAAGACCTTCCATGCCTTTTAAAAGAAATTTCTTTTATGTATTTAGGAAATTATTAACTATGTTTTAAAAATGTTTACTACTTTTTTGAGAATTTCATATGATGTATTTTGATTATATTTGTCTCCCCCAACTCCTCCTGGATATATTCTCATCTTATTTATTACCCACCCACTCCCAAACCTGTTGGGTTCAATGTGAAATGCTCAAATATTCTTGGGTGTGGAGCCTGCTCCGAAGAGTGGGTAATCTGCTAGGAGTCACATTGTTAAAGAGAACTGAATTTGCCCCTCGAAGCAGCTATCAAGTGCCAACATCTCCTTAGTTAGGAGTGGGACTTCATGCCCGCCTCCCTGGTTAAAAGGGATTTCTTAAAAGGGTTAGAACTCTCAGTATATGAAAAACTTAAGAGCGATACACAAATCAACCCTTAAGATATAACAGGTACGCTCTGTGTGTGTGTGTGTGTGTGTGTGTGTGTGTGTGTGTGTGTGTGTGTGTGTTCCCGTGTACTTGTATAGAAGCCAGAGCTTGAAGTTGAATGTGTTCTTCTATTGGTCTCCACCTTGTATTTTGAATCAAAGTCTCTGGCTGAGCCTGGAGCTGGTTCAGCAAGTCTGGCTGGCCAGTGAGCCCTTGGGATCACCGTTTTTGTTTCCCCATGATAGGGAACATTTGTAGGCCCTGCTTTTTATGTGGGTGCTTGTGATCAGAAATCATGCCATCATGGTTGTATGGCAAGTATTTTATAAGCTGAATAATCCTCGGACCCTATTATCCTCATTTTAGAGATGGACAAACAGAGGCTTCAATAATAAAGCAGTTTATTAAGGTGTCATAGCCAGTAAGTGGCAGAAGGAAGACTGGGCGCCTAGATACGTAATTGCAGAGCCCACAATCTTAGCAAGATCTTTTTTTTTACTGTGTTAGCTCCCCCTCTATCCTTATCCAATTCCCTTCTTACTGTAGGTGTAGGAATTTGACACAAACTGAAGACAGAATTGGGCGAAATTTCTATGGCATCTTAATACTGCCACCTAGTGGTATAAAAAAGTAAAGCGTCCCTCTGTTTTCTGGCAAAGTCCTTAGTGTGTTGCACATTTCCTACTACTACTGTCAAGGAGTTATAAATTCTATTTGGACTTGTGAGGACAGAGATTAGCAGCACAGCCCTAACTTTAACTCCTTAAGGTAGATTAATTTTTTTCTGATCAGAATTTGTAAGTGCTAGAAAATGTTCAAGTATCTATTCAGGCTGTTTTTATACATCTAATAATTATACTTTTCTAGGAAACTTTATAACTGTCCTGAGTATATTTTGGGAAGCTTGTTTTTCTTAATGCCCTTGATCTGATATCTCATTGTGATTACCTTTTCTGTTGTTCAAACTCAGGACTCAATGATAACGTAAGATTATTTAGCAATTACTGGTCTTCGACAGAAAGAAACAAAGATCTCTACAGAATAGGGTGCAATTCCCCATAACCGCCTATTTGTATCTGTCTCTGCCTTTATGCATGTTCTTATTGCTAGTTAAGAAGGCTGCCATTTTGGAATTAGGAAAAAATGCCATTTTGAAATGAAATAATTATAGAGTTGAAAGACACCTTAATGTTTATTTCTTCTAAGTCACACAACTTATTTGAATTTCCAAAGAGGGAAGATGAGGAACTTGGAGGAAAGGAGTCTCTGGATTGGCTTTTGCAGAGCAGCTTAAGGTGGTTCATCACAGCTCCCTGCTGCCATAAGGGCAAGTCAAAGGTCTGTGAAATGGGCCAGAACCTGGGGCTGGGTTCTGATGATGGCTCTGTCAGAAATTCGTTTGTTTAACTGTCAGCCACAGCATGTGTGCTGAGCTCAGATGCATGGGTGACATCGTGTAAGTATTGAAACCAATCATTATAGTGCTGACGTTTGTAAATCATTTTCCTTAAATGATTCTAATGAGAGAAGAGAGAGCAAGTACAGTGGAAGGAGCATTCCTCCATCCCCAAATCACTTGAGAGAAAGTTGTCAACCTGATGGTCCATCATAACTTGAATGTGTTTTCTACAAAGACATTCCCACTACCCGAAGGACATGTCCTCCATGCAATGTAAAAGTCAGGAAATTAGTACTAACACACTATTACCGTTTAATCCTCAGACTTTATCCACGTTTGTTTCCGCATTTTCCTTTACAGGATAAAAGGGATCCTTTCAGAGTCAAGTAGTGCCTTTGGCTATCCTCTCTTTTACTGCCCTCTAGCTGCAGCTACCCCCATCTTGCTTTCACTTTCATTATCATCAAATCTGCAGTCCAGTCATTTTGTAGATTGTCTCTTTACCTGTTTTTGTTTAAGGCTTCCTTATGTTCAACTTGTACGTTTTGACTGAAATGGCACAGATGTGATGCCATATTCCTCTCACTGAACTACAAAATGGGTCTCTAATCTCAGTACACTTCAGTATTAAGAGTATTCTCATTGATCAACTGACTGAGGTGGTGTTTGCCTGTTGTGCCACTTGTGTAATTAATGATCATTTTTGTGGGTGAGGCACTTGAAATCATGTAAATATTCCACCCCTCATCATAGTTTTAATCAATTTATTTTGTATCAGCATACACCTTTGTTTTTCTGTTTTAAAATCAATACTCCTGTTGATTTTACTGTTAATGATTTTGATACTCAAATTATCTCACATGTTACCAAAGGTGGGCCATTGTAAGTTTAATTCTGTAATCTGCTGATTTCTAATCATTCTTGCTTAGTGGTGGTATAAAGTTTCCCAAATGACCACTCTCATTCCCAATGTCTTTAAATACAAAAATTTTCACAGTAGTATGGCTTATCAGCATACATGTATGATATGTACTGATCAACCAGGGCAACAAATATCCTCATATCTTTATCATGACTCTGTGTTTGCTGCCCTTAAGCTCCTTTCTTGTATTCATAAATATGTAATAGGCTAGTGTGTGCAGGCCACCACTGTTCCTAAGAACAATAGACTTGTTAATTCTACTTATGTCTGGGTAGCCATTATTTTACTTTTCATTACTCAGGTAACTCATATTTTTTTCCTGTGTCTGTCCTGGAGTCATCTGATGTCATGAAGCCCTGGCTCACTTCAGTGGAGAATATATAGGTATTTATGTGTACACTCAATATGGAAAGCCCCAAAGTGACACCACTGTTTTCAGTTTGCATCGAACGTGGTAGGGTCTATTCCAGTTTTCTCCCTTCTGATGCCTGTGACTGCCTTCTCTGATAGTGAAAGGCCTCCCCCTTCTAGTCCTTAGTACGTCTAATTCTCTCACCAGTCTTTCTGCCTGCACAGTCTGTCCCAATACTGCAGCCACCCATCCCCAGAACAACACATGCTATCTAAGCCAGGAGAACAAGGAGCCCTAAAGCAAACACAGACTTCGTTTTTACTTTCTAAAGTATTTCCAAGTTGGGTTTTTCCAAGTTTAGATGTTAGGAGAATGGAAAAAAAAAATAAAAATAAAGGTCCCCTGAGGCCACATACAGAGGAAGGGCTGTAGACACACACTGACTAACATTCTGTTTCCTGCTTTTTATTGGATTTTATTTGGGGTGGGGGCAGATATGTGAATCACTGATGTGCAGGCCAGCCTGGGGCTTCCATACATAGGCTTTGAGAAGATTCCGTCTTTTTGTGATTGCATGTGCTGCTGTAGAGAGCAAGGAGAATAGAACCTAGAGGCAGGCTTTCAAGCTCCTTGGTCACACCTTTGTCCTGACTATTGGAAGCATCAGTCCTTGAACACCAGTTGTAACCCACTGGTTAACCATTATTGATGGTCTGCTATGTGGCAGCCCCTAGGTAAGGTGCCTTCTCACAAGGCTGAGCTGGGTGAGTCTCTGGGATAAGGGATACAGCCAGAACTTGGGGACCCAGTAAGAACTTGTGGAGATTCTGTGCTCACCCTAAGAACTGATATGAGCATCTTCATACACTTTCTGAACATTTTCCTTGTGAGAAATAAGAGGCTTTTGCTTTTCTTTTCTCATTTTTTTTTGGCCAGTTTTTTCATATGTCTTAGTAATATATTTCATTTTCCACCCATCCACTCTCCTTGCTCCTCCCCATTCTGTTGGGGGAGAACTCATAAATATCATTGGTCACAAATCCACTCTCCATACTTGCCAGAGTCACAAACCCACTTTCTGAAGGGTTCACAGCCATGTTGTCATAGTCACAAGATACATCATCAGGAGTGGCTTCACTAGAACACACCCGAAATGAGATGTTTTTCAGGTCTGGCCGGGGCTCAGCTAAATCAGCTTCACTTTGTTTTCTGATGACATTGTAAACATCCAAGTTGGGGCTGTTTTCTTGGTGAGGAGTGGGCCAAATGGTGTGTTGCTCCTTTGTAGTAGGATCTGGCTGCTCTTGTTTTCTAGAAGAAGAGAACCAGGCTGAGTATTTGAGCCCAGGGCACTGAGACTATATATCACTGTTCCTATTGAAGTGGAGGAAGTAACCTCAGGAAGTAAACTAGCTCTACCTCTCAACTACCTGTACCTAAAGGTTTTGTGGGACAGGTAGGAGACAGCTCAGGAAAGTGTTATGGTCATAGTGCTCTTACATCTGTCATTCACCATCACTAGCTTGAGTTCCAGGACTCCCTTGAGAATATGGGACCAGAAAGCAATAGGAGATACTAAAAACTAAATAAAAAAATACATCTCTAAGTAAAATTACCTATTTCTAATTTGTTTTTATCCTACCATTAAAAGCAAAGACAAGAGTAGGAGTAATAATACCATTGACCCTATCACCAAAAGAAATCATGTTTCCATATCATATCAGTTATTATAGTTGCTTTGAAATATTTTATGCTCACCTGTACTTCAAAATTATAATTATACCTACCATTAAGAGTCATTAATAAAGAAACAATTCATTTGGGGAAATATTTTTGCTAAACTATGTAATGGTATAATTGTTTCCTTTTTCTACCAATGCATTTTGTTTGCCACACTTAAAAATATTGTTTAAGAGACTAGGGATATAGCTAAATGTTACTTGTCTGGCATGTGGAAAGTCCTGGGTTGATCCCAAGGACTGTTTAAAACATGAAGAAAGGAAGGAAGGAAAGAAGAAAAGAGGAAAGAAATACAGAGACATAGAGATAGAGGGAGGGAAGAAGAGGGAGGGAGATTAGGAGAGAGAGAGAGAGAGAGAGAGAGAGAATAGAAGAGGAGAGAATGAAAATGGTTTTGGAAGAGAGCTGCAATTCCCCAATCCTAGCAAAGTGATAAGTACATTTAAGAACCAACTGCAGTGTAAGCCATTGGAAAAAAATGTATCTGTAGTTTTTTAAACTGAATTCTATTTTAAATTCAAGAGAATTACCAACAAAAATGATTGTAGTAATGGCTAATACTTTTGAGTGTTTGTTATATGCTTGTTATGTGTGTATTCATTGCTTTAGTACCATAATAATCCTTTAAGGGGGTTATTAAATGAAATAGGTTCTGCATTGGACTTTTACAGATTTATTTCAAATTGCTCATCAAAGTGAGTCAAACTTAAGTTGGACCTTGATTTTCATTCTGTAAAGGTGAGAATGCTAGCTCTCTTGTATGTATACCATGATGATGGGTGAACTGAGGACAGTTGCATGTGCCTAAAATACATGAGCACATGATCCAGATTACATACTGGGACTGCCTATGCTACCTTGCTTAGCTGCTTTGCAACAATATACTTTTGAAATCAAAAGAACAGTCAATTAAAAAGAATTTGGCTGATTCATTCTGAGTGAACTGGCTTTGTATCAGAAGCTTCCCAGAATGCTCAGAACACACAGTTTTCATGTGGTTCATTAGTCATTCCTTACTCAACAAACATTTTTGGCATGAGGACCTATGTTTAGGAGAGCACTTTGCTGGGTGATACATGGGTGCACAGGAAATGAATAACACTGTTTTACCTTCCACGTTCCTTAAAAATCTTCCACACACAGAGAAAAGAAAGTGCATAGGACCACTAACTTAATCACAACTTATCACAAATACTCAGCTGAATGCTACTAGTTTGGTGTGGACCCAGAGTCCCGAGTTAGCCAGAGTTTACTCTTAGTTCTACTTGGAGTTCTTGTGGCTTTTAATGTTGTTAACTGTGTAGCCTCCAAATCTCAAAGAGTGCAGAGGGAGCAGAGGTTTTCCTGATGAAGGTTCTACTTGCCTTCTTCTACAGATCCAAACCCAACATGCAGCTGAAGTGACCACAAGTAAGAGGAAAAGGGGAATGCTGGGGATTAGGATGTAGGCAAGATTCAAAGCAGCCTCTGAAAAAGAAAAAAAAAATATATTATCCTTGGTGACCCCCCAACCCCTGCTGCCTCCATACGTTTCCTTTCAAACCATGCTTTAAAAAGCATAATCATTAGAGAATTCCAAGCAGCACATCTAGGAAACAGATAAACTGATGCAGTTACCCAGTTAGCAGAGACCCTAGTTTCAACAAAGGAACATTTTCTATATGATCTATTAATCTAAGTGATACTGTAGACAAGTTTAAATTTTGGAGTTTTGCAAATATTGGAAAGTTATGTTTGATATTTTTTTTTTTCAGAGTAAAGCGACCCTCCTTTTCCATGTAATTCTTAGTAAAAACAGGCTTGGTGGGGGCAGTGCGGATATCATTGCCTTCAAGGACAACCACAGAACTTCCCAAGATTGGAGTGGGAAGAGTTAGTGAAAAACATCAAGCCATAAGTCCCTGTCATTTGCAGGGAAAAGATGTTGTTCCCTTCCGGGGCTGTGAGAGAAAGTGGGGGTGGGGGTAATAGGCTCTGAATGCTCAGGAGCTTGAATCTTCTGTCCCCAGTAATTCAAGCTACTGATCATCATCACAGCGCCTGAAGGGAACAACGTCTAGTTCTGTCTCCCAGACTACAGTGTTCAGAAAAGAAGACCCCTAAGTGCTCTTCATGGCAGTCAGGGACCTAGCTAAAGCCACTTGGTCTTAGTCAGATGTATTAGGAAGTTCTGAGAGTCTATGTGATCTTTGTCTTTCCTGAAAATGACACCACCTCTATCCTGCTTAGCCAATAAAACCCAACAACCTCTGGACACCAAAGCCTAATGGTGCTTCCTGGGTGGGTAACACATCAATGTGATAGGAGAAGTATTTTGTTTACTTTTGTGAAGCTGTGAGCAAATTATCCAAAAGAAAGACTTAAAAGAGGAATGATGATTTCAGCTCAGGGTTTCATGACTAGCTCCATGAAATCAGGCAGGTATGCAAATGCAGAGGAGGAGGCGGCTGTGTACATCATGGTGAACAGGACACAGAGAAAAAGGAACATACCAGGCACCACGTATAAGCTTCAAAGGCATGCTTCCTGTGACCCACTTTCTCCAGCTAGAACCCACACCCTAAAGTTTCCAGAATCTTCCATATAGCACTACCACCTGGGGACCAAATATTAAATACATGAGCATGCAGAAGACATTTTCTAGTGAAATCGTAACAAAGAGGTTCATAGTCCTGATTCCGCTGGGAGATAACACAGAAGATTCTATCTGAAATCCTTCCAGACCTTTCCCTGGCTGTGCCTTTATTTGGTTATTCTCAACTTGGATCCTGTATAAGATGTACAGACACTGTATTTCTAAATTCTGTGAGTTCTAGTGAATTACAGAACCTGACAGGGCTGGTGGGCACTGCTGAATGTGTAGCCCATTGGACATCAGTGCAGGTGGTCTGAGGACTGTGAGACTTGTGATTGATGTCATTCTGATGTGAGAGTGTGGACAGTAGGAGGAATCTGCATAGACCCCCAGTGTCAGAACTGAATTTTAGGAAAACATTATATTTTACTTTATGAAGCTGATCATGCTGTCATCTAGGCATGAAAAATACTAAAGGATTAAACTGAAGCACAGAGAATTTTTTTTTTCTTAAAGTTAAGTTGCCCAGTGACAAAACCCCAGATTTCCCTCTGAAACTCAGGGTAAGAGTGAGATCAAAAGCTCATTGGCACTCTAGTTTATCATCCCAACTTTATTTTACCTTTTATGATGCAGCCTTTTAGATGTTTATCCTCCCCATTTCCTGAGTTTGGTTCACAGATCAGTATTGATCCCAGATTGTATGTAGTATGGTTTGGGTTATTTCAGTCTTATTTTTCTACATTCCTTCTCTCAGTCCTTGTCCTATTCCACATCCCATGGTTAGGAAAATTCCCAAGTCTTGCCTTTACTGAGACGGGGGATCTTCCACTTCTTGTCTAGTCTTCTTGTCCTCAGTAGTCTTAGGAGAGCACCCATTGCCTATTTCATTGATGAAACCTAGCATTTAATATAGTCTTTGCAATGTCACAGATCTTTGTGTAATCTCACTTTTTAAAGAGCTGTGTGAAGAAGAAAGTAGGAAGGGTAACCATAGGTAATTTCAAGTCAAAGGAGTCTCATTATGTATTTTTTTCCCAGGTACCTCTGCTTTCTTTAAATGTTTCTTTGGTGTCTTCTTTCTGTGTTTCTTCTGGAAGTACTGGTGTTGCTGGCTCAGTTGCTTCACCTGAGAGAGATACATATGAGCTTGAGAACTTGAAGAAATGTGTTATAGTCCAGGCATGCCCTGAGGTCCTGCCACACGTAGAGTGGTATGAAAAAAAAAAAAAAGTAGTGATTTGACCAATGCCAAACATAGTAAAGTTTGAATTTGTTGCACTAGGATTTTTTTTTCATTGTGTGTTTGTCTTTCTGTGTGAATGTGTATCTGTGTGTTTTGTGTGTATGTTTATAAGGTAGAGGTTGACACCAGGTATCTTGTACTGCTGTTTTCCACCTTATGTTTTGAGACATTGTCTCTCTGAACATGGAGTTGCAGATTCAGGTAGCTTGACAGGTAAACCCTGTGTCTGCCTTTCCAGTGATGGGATCAGAGGTGCGTATCACAGTGCCAAGCTTTTAGATATGGATTCTGGAGTTCTAACTCCGGTCTTCATGCTTGCACAGTGAGCACCTTACCCACTGAGCCATCTCCCCAGACATGTCTTCATATTTTTGGTTAAACTTTTGCCATGATCAGGCACCAAAACAGCCAGCAAGCAATATAAAAGACATAGGGAGAGATACAATGGCTCTGCTAGGACCACAAATAAATCAGTTGGGTTCATTTCTTATTTCATTAGATTAAATTTCTTCCTTTATATTGACAATAATAATAATATGTATCAAAAATGGAATTTTCAAACTATTACTCTCCAGTTTTGACCAACATAGATAACAGTGGACAGAGAATGAGAATGATGAACTAGTTGCCACAATTTAACAGATATCTGCCCAAATTGCCAGTTGACTTCCTGCTGCATAATCTGCTCTACAGTCATGGTTATAAATCTGTGAAGGGGACTGTGAAATGGCCCAAATTAACCCAAATCTCATGACAGACTTACCTCCAGGCCTTATTGAAGTTGTTGCACTTGGTTTCTCTGTAGCAGAAAGAAATAAAAACAAAAGCAATATTTAAATTTTCCTTCATCTGAATAAAATCACCTGAGTGTGGCATCTAATTCCAATAAACTTTTTATTGTCACCTTATTAATTATTGTTATCAGATACCAGAGGTAAGTTGCCTAAGTCAAAGAGTTACTTGCCCATGAATACTAGCCTTCCTTCAGCTTTACTTCAGTGTTTTTAAAAATTATTTAAGAACTTTAATGTTAGGCTTTCCAAATGCACACAAAAAGAGTATATTGAGCTCCTGTGTGTTGTATACAACCTCCACCTTATCAGCAAGGAGCTTCAGCATTGATCCCCACTCCCCCACTGCAGTTCTTGGCTGCATTGTCTTAAAGTGGTCCCAGGTCTGTTATCAGTTCCTACTGAGGACATTTCAGAGAGCAACAAACACTTGGTCTTTAGGAAGTGGAAGTGGTTGAGGGATTGCCCAGTTTCAAGGCAGAGAGTAGTGATTAACCTTGAGAGAATTATAGCATTTCTAAGAGCTTCTAAGTCACACAGACAACACATGACAAATGTTTTTGCTGTTGGCTGATCTGGCACTAGCAGGAGTCTCTTATGCTAATCAGATGCCTGGGATTCATAGGATCCTGATGGTTTTAGAGATCATAGTTATCAGGCCCAGATATTAGATATTTCATTCAGAAAGGGAAGTAATGCTTAATCGTCATCCTCCTCCTCCTCTTTTCTTCTTCTTTCTTGTATATGATCACATTCTCAAATCTAGTTTTAGACATGGTCACTTACTCACACAGTTTCTTACCAGTGTGTCATAATATTAGTGGGTAGTGTGCCATCCTGTGGGAACTGCAGAATTTATCCTTAGTTCATTAAGTGGCTGGAAATGTATGCTTCTGGACTTCATGACAATCATGAAGTTAATGGGTCAAACAAGTAAGTAGGCATATAAACACTCTATGTGAGGCAGTCTGCTTCTTGGAGGCTTCCAACAGGTTTTAAAATAGTTGTTTTGAAATAATTTTAGATTTATAAAAATTTCACAAGACCATACAAAGAATCTGAACATACCTCTCATAATCATTTTGCCATCACCTACTTAAATATTATTTGTATCTTTAAACACATATATACATACATGCCCATATATATAGGTTTATTTGGAGAGTAAGTTGCTGACATGACATGGTACCCTTTACTCCTAGTGGCTTTGATCTTAAAAATAGACTGCATTATCTTATATAAACATGGTATAATGATCCCAACCTGGGGATCAACACTAATAAGATACTGTTATTTATTCCACAGACCTTATTCACATTCTAGCAACTGACACAATTATGTCACTTACAGAACATCATTATCATCACTGTCATCACCATCCTTTTGGACTAGGAGGTAATCCAGAGTGACCTGTTGCATTTAATTGTTAGGAGAGAAAGTAGGAGAAGAGTTGAGAGTGCTAAGAGGTGAGGTTGAAAAATGAGGCAAGAATCTTATCATGAGGACTTTTTCTCTGCATGGTAAGCTGAATGAATTTATTTTGTGGGGGTGTGGCGTCATAAAGGCCAGTTAGTTCTCCATGTGCCTATCTCCCTCTATAAGGTCTCATCTACATGTTCTAGGAGGCTAATCTCCATGGACTATTTTACTGGGGCATCCCTGTCCTTTGGTATCTTACTTGTCTTAGCCAATGGGAAGCAAAGACAGGGGGGTCAGAAGGTAGATGCTGACAGAGGTCATGGCATTCATTCCTCTTGTTCATTTCCCTGTCAGTATGGTTTTTCAGCAGCTGTATTCTGTGGTTTCTGCTTCTGTTGGGAGGGTCCTTTCTCTAAGTTCTGCTAAAATGATTCCTTTGATTTGTTCCTTTAGGTTCCTTAGGGGTGGTACAGCTTACCATTGTAGATAATCCATAGATACTTTATCATATGCTCTTGGCCTACATCTCCTACATCTTTGCAAATAGCCTTTTATTACACTCTCTTTATTAAACCTGTAGGATATGCTATATTTTTTTCATGTAAGAACTCAGTCAAACTAATTCAGGCAATAATAAAATTGATAGGTCATTTATGTCTTTTAAAAATGTACCAAGTTAAAAAAAAATAAAAGGATATTAGAGTAAATCTCAAATCTCTCGTTAGGAAAACTGAGAGGGCCTAGTGATGATGGTACCAGAAACCAGAGGCCTTGAATGGGACTAATGACTCATTGCAACGAACATTCTGCAGATGGGGCTGATTAGACAAAAGGTACGTCACATCACATCACACTAGGATAAATAGAGAGGTATTGGAAAGATGGAGGAGTGAGGTGGCTTTTTGGAAATGGAAATTATGTAAGTGCTTTCTTTCACTGCTCTGAGAGGTGGCCTGCTAAACCAGTCCATGTCTCTGCAGCCTCTCTCTACCTAAGGCAACTGTGTATGGCAGGGGAAAGACAGGGCCTGGAGAAGAGTTCATCGGAGGCTAGAATGGGTGAGGAAAAACATCTTTCAGCTCAAAATTGTCACCAAAGTATAACGATCACCAAACAGCTAAAAATGGCAGTAGTACTTTGTTCCAAATTATAATAGATACAACTAACAAGTTGTATCTGTTGGGAAGGGCTGTAAAACTGGGGCCAAGCAGTTGGCTTCAGGGAAGTGAGAAACTTCAGTCAGTTTTAATAAAGGAGTCTAGGAACTCAGCAAAGTGAGACTGCGGGCTTGTTGCCAGTTCCAGATCTTTGCAGATCTGGAAGCAAATGCAAGTTAAATTTGCAAGGCAGATATAAAGGTGGTGGGTGGCTGGGGACTTTTAAACTTCTTCATCAAAGTGCTTGCTGTCTAAGACTGTCAGTGAAGTTGGGGCACTTTGTCGCTTGCCTTTTCTGGTCATTAGTTTTTTTTTTCCTGTAAATTTCAGGAAATAATCTCATGTGGCTGCTACGGGACTTGCAGAAGTAGCCATCAGTGTATTCCAGGCTCCCACAGCCAACCACACATGGAATGAGTGAGTTTGTGCCTGTTCACAACAGAGGCCTTTATCAACCCTTTCTTTGCATCTGATAGTCTCTCCTTTGCCAGAACTATTTCTCAGTGAGGAAGTGTCATCTTATTTCCATTTACAAGAATTCTCAAAGTTAATGTTGCTGGAGTTTGCAAAAAGCTTTCTCTGTGAGCAAAGAATAAGTCCTTGGTACCAGCAGCTGTTTTTTTAAATGGGGGAAGAAGTTGGGAATTTAGCCATATAACTGGGGAAAAGTTTTGTTACCATCAGCATATTTGCAAATGAAATTGTTCTTCATGTTGCATCGATCATCATTCCACTGGAACATGTATGAGCCCCCGATGCCGGGTGGTGCTGATGGCTGATGGTACATCACCACGCAGACCTCGCTGCCACAAGAAGGTTCATCCACATACCAGTTCCTGAAGGAAAAGGATGGACAATGGAGACAACTGAAAAAACACACCTTAAGACTTACATCCCTTCCCCCCCATGAGGTTTCATTGAACCCTAAGTGTCAGATTCTGCTCCAGAACATGATACAGAGAGAAGGGGGAATTGAAGCACTGCCAACAAGTAGACACACGCTGTTGATCCAGTGTGGCTGTCACAGTCAATCATCTGACATTTGCCACAACCTCTTTGCAGGGAGGAATATATTATGTCTGTAAAATAATTATGAGAAATAGCAGCTAGCACAGATCTAGTCTGGAAGATCTTAGTGCTTACCTTCTTTTTGGTTTTGTGCTAGTTGGGCGTTGTTTCTATCTTTTCAGAGATCATATATACTGAGGAGAGACATGGCATCTCTCTCTCTCTCTCAAAGCTTGCCCTAATTCCATCTTGCTACTTTCCAATAACTGCCTCTGCCACATCAGCCCCAGATGATGAATGAGAAGATGGAAGAAATTGAAAGAGATATCCCAAAATATAGAGGCTGCCAAAGTAGGAGAGGGGTTGGGGAAGGGGACAGGAGGCCATCTTGGTTTTATTAGTTTTGCATAGGATCAAGGAACTAAGCCCCTTTGCCTCCACTATGTGTTATTTTCCTTTTGCCTCTTTTAGCTCCTTGAAAAAGTTCATAGTCGATTTAGCTTTACCACCCAGTAGTTGCTAGAACTGAGTGGTGCTGCCACCTTGTTGTATATGTGGGAACCAGGAGCCCACTGAGTAGAAGTTTGCAAGCACTTACCCCATCTGTCAATTGAGGGCTGGGCTCAATTGAGTACCTAATCTGCTTCTGTCTGGGGCTAGGATCTAGCTCCGACTCTCAGACTATCTATCTAGACACCGCTGCTCTGCCCATGTCTTCTCAAGCCTTTCTTCAGGAGAGTTGGCTAAGAGACATGTCTTCTGGTAGCACCACAACATGACTCTGCTTTAGTCCTGTGTTGCAGTCTGCCTGAAGGAAGGTCCTTTGTTTCATCTGCCACACTGAAAGAGTTTCCTGAACAACAGATGAATTTATGATAAAAATCTGGATATGATGTCTGAACATCTGGGGGCAGGGGTCTTGGTAGAGACTAGGCTTTGTGCGTCATTAGTTAACTCCAATACAACTGGCCCTCCCCATAGCTTTATGGTTTATGTTACTTCTTCTCAGAGAGGGAGGGAGAGAGGGAGGAAGTCAGGGAGGGAGGGAGGGAGGAAGAGAGAGAAAGGGAGGGAGGGATACAAAGAGAGATATAGTGATTGATTACTGTAATAATATTTTTGGACTTGAACCAGTTTTCAGACTTATAATTCACAGATAAAGGGAGAGGCCAGATGCCTAGGAAGAAAACCCTGCAGAGCTGTGACAGTTGTCTATGATAAGAACTTCCTCTGTTCTTTCTCCAGGAGGACCTTTGGCTATTTAACCAAATAACCATACACTTGAGAAGGGGTATGCCTAAATATTGATAGAATTGTTTAATATAGGGTATAAATGAACATTGATGTCATCAAAGCCACACATAAGAGTGGGAGCACATTGGGACAAAGTATTTAATCAGTCAGCTCACAAGTCCACAATGGGGTCTAACCAGTAGTCTTGGCCCATATCTCCCTCCCTCCCTCCCTCCCTCCCTCCCTCTCTCTCTCTCTTTCTTTCTCTCTCTCTCTCTCTCTCTCTCTCTCTCTCTCTCTCTCTCTCTCATACACACACAGGCTCTGTTGTGAGACAAGGTCTAGTGTAGTCCTTCTATGTGGACCTTGAGCCAGCTGAGGCCAAACATGAACCTGATTTTCTAGCTTCTACATCTGGAATAGGAAGGATCACATTATATGCTACAACTATACCATTTTCAGGGGTTGCTTGGAGATGGAACCCAGGGCCTCTGAATAGATCTATGTAGTAGTTGGTATAGCTCCGTTTTGGCTCCTTAGGCTATCATAGCATATAACTCCAAGCATAAACATCTGAGACTGCATTCTCCTCACCACAGCATCTTATCTAGAGGTAGATGGCAGGAAGCAGAGGTACCTTAAAGACCTGATAATGCAGAGTGGCATCTCCCATCATTTCTCTGTTTAGTTCACTTGTCTGATTCCTGTGAAACCCAGGCAGATCCTAAAGGATTCTACAAGAGGAGCACACACTCAACCCTGTAGAACCCCAACTGTGGCTGCTGTTGTATATGTGATATCTTTGCTAGAGAAGTATGCAGTTCTTGTGAACACATTCACAAGATCCTGGAAGAGTTTATAGTCACTGGGAGTTGACGACAGTATACCCTTATGGTTTTGCCTTTTGATTTTTTTCCTCATCCAGCTATAATACCTGGATTTCCTATTAATCATGAAGAAAATAATATTGGCTCATTATACTGCTGACCACTGTGTTAATTGCACCAGATGAGCAAGGAGAAAAAAAAAGGATGGTATATTGGAGACCTTAGTAAGACTCATGTAATACAGAAGGTTGGAGAAAAATTCAAGGAGTATTCAGGACCTATCACTTCATTGGAATGTACAGATGTCTAGTGATCTGGAGGATGCCAGAACAGCCCTTTCAAATGAAATAACACACCACTATATCATACTATAATTTAAAGGAAGCATAGCACTTGGCAGGTCTCTTTGGGTTCATATTTCTCACTTGAGAGTACTACTGTGGCCTATATGACAGATGGTCAGTTTTGAGCAGGAGGGGAAAGGGACTTTAAGGAAGGTCTAGGCTCAGACATTTTTCACAATTGTACCAGAACTTCTTCCTGGGCTCACACCCCTGTGCATGCATAAAAGAATCCCTTGGGACTAGCTGATACAGTCAGCTTAGTCTTGATTCTAAGTGAAGTCAAAAAATCTGAAATGATTACAAGTTTTACTGCCACTGTAAGAGATAGTTTTGCAAGCCAGTGGTAAGGGAACAGCCTCCCACTGGCTAGAGCTTTAGATAATGTACCTCATTAGCCACTTTATATGGAAGTAGAAGTTCCTGGAGGTTAAACATATGGAACTTGGGGGAAAGGAAGATACAAAGCCAACTAGTAAGAATATAGAAGACAAAGGATGAAGACTGGAGACAATGACATGATAGAATGAAGTGAACAGAGATAAACAAGTGAGCATGAAGTCTGGGAAACTTTTGCCATTTGATAAGCTCAGCAGAGAGTATCTTCTACAGAACTGGCACCAAACAACCAGGAAGATTATGAGCCAAATGATGGCAACTGGCTGGTCTCAGCCACAACCACAGTAGCTCAATAGATAAATAATTACTACGGAGGCACTGCATGGGCTCAACACTTTGTATTGCACAAGGCAAGACTGATCTGTTTGTGAATACCAACAAATATCCAGCCTTCCTGCAATAGAGACCAGTATTAAGACTGATGCCAACTCTAGCCTGAGAAGTTCAAATGACTCCAGAGAGGGTCTTGCAATCCCAGTACATCAGCCATTGAAACCACCAGAGGGTGGAGAGGATGAGAATGGGCACTGGTAATTAAGGAGATCAACATGATATTTGGTGGCAAACTAGCTACATTGGACCCTACAAGGGTCATTTTGGTAGGAAAAGATATGGTCTGAGCATTTTTTTTTTTTTTTTTTTTGCCTTAGGGTTTTACTCAAATTCACTATCCAAAGGTGTAACTAGTATTTTATCTGTCAAAATAAGATCCAAATACAGTCTCATCAGGCAAAAGGCCTACTTTGTAGCAAAGAAGGTACAAGACTAGGCCCCTGATCATGGGAATTCCTTGTCAGATTACATATGACTCCATCCCACAGCTGCTAGCTCAACTCATGGAAGAACTTGTTGAAAATACACCTCAAGGTAATTGAACTTTGGGGAGGGACGTCATTCTCCAAGTAGCAGTGTATACTTTAACAAGTTCCATAACCCTGTATCTCTAAAAATAGAATATATGGGTCTGGAGTCAAGTGTTAAGAGCAGCAGCTCCTCCACTGGATATTGTCTTCACTTGTGTTTGTACTGCTCATTTCTGCAATGCTGTGATCTGGGAGTTTGTAGGAACTTAGTTCTCAGAGAGGAACACTTCTAATAGGAGACATAGCAAGAGTCTAATCAAGCCACAAGTCATGGTTACCACATGACACTTGGGATCTCTATGTTCGGAAATCAGCAGACAAGAAGAGATGTGAGTATCTAGGCAGGATGTTATTTACTCTGTTAGGAGGAGGTGGTTTGCTGTTGTATGGTGTTGGTAGGAAGAGCCTTCCAGGTTATGTACTTGGGAATATCTTCATGTTCACGTCCTACTTTTGAAAGTTAATGGGAAAGCATATTGACTTCGGGCTGAGAAATGCAAGTTGACCTTTGCACTTCAGAGATGATGGTCTGGTTATGCTACTTAGTCAGCCATTGAGACCAGCAGAAAGGTAGGGTATGTTATGAGATAGTAAGGTGGGATGTCAGCAAGAGTCAGCTGAGGCTCTAAGATCATCTTCAGTGATGAGAAATAAACTCCCTACTCTGAACCTTCTCTTTCAAAATTTCTTCCAGGAAGAGAAGGCTGTAAGAATCTCAGAGGAGTTTCTTCCACAACTTATATGAAGAGCAGATCTTAAGTGTAATTGGTGGAGAGTAAGAGCAGGGATGATGTAACAGATAAACTCTCTTAAGCTACCATTTAACAATATATTATTTATTGATTTGATATGTACCAGTGTTTTGACTGCCTGCATGTCTGTGCACCATGTGCATAAAGTGCCTGCATAGTCCAGAAGAGGGAGTAAACTCCCGCTGGAACTGGAGTTATAAACAGTTGTGAGCTGCCATGTGGGTGCTGGGAGCTAAACCTGGGTCTGCAGCAGGAGCAGCCAGTGCTCCTAACTACTGAGGTGTCTCTCCAGCCCAGATAAACTACCTTTTAATCTCTATACTTTTGAGTGAAAGTAATACACTGTTTTCCATAAAATTGTCTAGCAAATTTAGTTTCCTTCATTGTGAGCTCTCTGCCTAGGTCTTTTGCCTTTTTGTCTTTGAGGCCTTTGTATTTTTATCACCTATGTATTTAAATTGACTGAACAACTCTGTATCATATGAAGATTAACTCTTTGGTATATTGTTCTCCCTTTCCCATGTTTATCTTCTTGATATTTTTGAAATGTTTGTCCATGTCATGTCCCTGTGTTTTTTAGCAAGAGATGATGAAGGCATCATGGTGCATGGTGGGATGTGTGTGCTCACCATATCATGACGCTGTGAGTTTAGGAGTTTCCTACAAACGGTAGTTTTCTTCAAGTCTCTACCCTTGGTCAGTCCATAGAGCAAGATATTGGTTTTGAATTCCTTCCCTTATCATGATTCCCTGTGATCTGAAGTCCCACCTTGGCCCCAGCTTTATGTACCTTCAGTTTCTTGCCACAGTCTTAGCTCCAAGGGCCAGAGTCCAGAGCCACAGATGACAAACATGGCACACTATTGAAAAAGTGCTTCTGGGCTTCACCCTCCTGAACAGGGCACTTTGGGCCCAAGTGAAGGCTGAGTTCTCCATCTTTGCCATACTACTCTGATCACTAGCTGTTCTGTTGGTTCTGCCACACCTTCTCATGAATCTGACACTGTGGGTACTGCTCACCTCCTTTCTGAGCTATGTCAAAGGAAGCAGCTCTGTGAGACCCACACACTTACCGAAATTGTGATGTGCTCCCATCTGTCCAAGCATAAAGGTCCTGGCAGGCTGTGTTGTTGCTCTGCTTCTCCTCCAGCCTCCTGAGGCCAATCCAGAAATCACCATCGGAGGCCAAGAGGTTTTCAATGAACTTCTCTATCAGTCTCTGCTCATCTTCTGTTTCGATACTGACTAGCTGGCCCCCATCCCTCCTGCAGGCTTCTTTGGCTTCCTCAAAGTTCAGTCTTTGAAAAGCATCATGGAAGTAAATGACTTTATAGCAAGGCCTCCGAGTCCCTCCCCGGCAGACCAGCTGCCCTAGAGAAAAAAGAAGGCAACCTGTTACAGTGCCCCAAGAATGTATACCAGAGCATATGTGTTTAGAAACATCCGAATGAAGTTGTCTTTGGGCAGGAATTCTGATGGTTCATCTGTGGATTGTTATCACTCAGCCTTTCTAGAGAAAATTAGTACTCTTTACAGCACAAAGTAACAGTGATTTTAAACTCTGATGCCTGTATTATGTAGGGGAATCCATGTTTTTGTTGCAGTGCAGATTGCTGAAGATGGTTCTGTATTTTAAAGAGAATAGGTAAATATTTATAGCTTTACTTAATGCATACAAATAAGACAGTTATACCCTTAGGAAGTCCCAGGGAATTATGGGGGGCTTAGAATAACTGTTGCTATTAATTGATTCCTTCAGTACAGAGGAACATTCTGAAGTCAGCCATGGATTCCTCTATCTTGAAGTTCCCTGTCTATGCAGTGGGACTAACTTGCTCAGTCTTTGGTGTGAGCAGAAGCTAAGAGCATCCATGGGTTTTTCTGCTACTGATATTCAGATCGCTGACCTACAGACAATAGCTAGAGTTTACTGAACTTTCCCCATGTCCCATTAGCTATGGTAAAGGTTTTTTTTTGTTTGTTTGTTTGTTTTTTGTTTTTTTTTTTTAAGTAAAGATTTTTCCTTTAACCCTCGAAACAGTCTTCTAATGTCAAGACCATTTATGCCCCACTTCATGCATGAGAAAACTGAAGCTCAGAGAAATTGATTTGTCATACAGCTATCAGCAGCACTGTCAGAGTCAGGATCCAGATATGATTATAAAGTCATACAAGAATCGCTGAATTGTTTCGATGATTCCCCGCACTCTGACAGGCTCGGGGTGCTCAGGGAGCCCATGTCTCATTTTATTGACACCTGAGGGACTGAAGACAGTTTCAGGAAAATGGATGCGATTACATTGAGCAGAAAGTAGCAAACAGTTCACCATCACAGGCTGCCTTAGCTTGTGTCTGGATGGTTGAAGTCTTGCTGCAGCTGAAACCTAGCCCAGTCAGCCCTTTGTTCAGCCTGATGTACTAGGCATCCAGAGTACAGAAATGCCAGTTCCCAACCCACAGGAGCTTGACTCTGGTTTTAAGTGTACAAAACAGAAGCTAAGTTTCAACAAGGAGACTAGTCCCTTGCAATAAAAGAGCCAAACTGTAGGCTTTGGGTAGGAATTGCTGCCACGGAGTAAGGCATAACTGATTTTAGATTTTGAGTCTCTTGCCAGACTTTTTGGAGTGTTGTAACTTCCCCAGTATGTATTTCAGCTCTGCAGGGAGCCAGACAATGTTCATTATTTCTAATAATTGTCCAGCATGCAGGCCAAAAGACCACAGGCATTCCTAACTGTGAACAAGCAATATACAAATTTCTTCCCCAAAACTCCACACTTAGATAAATTCTCATGACCAAGGAGCTGGGAGTGTCCTGTATGTCTTCCCTTAGAAGAAGCTGTTGCTGCTAGATTAATGGTCTCAGAGAGGCTGGGCTTGCTTCTGAGGACCAGGGAGGTGTCCAGAGAAAAGGAGAAGGCTGCATCAGAGGAAGGCACAGGGGCCCTGGCCTCTCCCAACCTGGTCACTATAGTGCACAACAGAAACTGAAGTTGCCTTTACCAGTAATCCCACCGTTCCAGGATAGACAGCCAAGAGAAAGCTTAACACCTTGATAGAGTTTCCTGTATGGCTGCACACATCCCCTGTATGCTAGTGAGTGCCAGAGAGCACCAGAGCTGGAAGACAGCCCAGGACCCATCTGGTTCCCCTGCCTTCAGGAAGTGTCTTTCTTTTCTCTTTTGCAGGAAGGGGAAGGGCAGGCAAGAGGTCTCCCATCACCACCAATTGAGGAACCATGCATCCTTAACCCTCACTGTCCCTCTACTGAGCCGAGCACCTCCTCCCCCCCTTCACCTCCCCGACCTGAAACCAAAATTAGATTCCTTAAATCAGACCAACTAGCTGGGATACAGTGGAGATCCCCATTTTCCCCGTCCCTCTTTGGCCAAAAGGGACCTGATTAAAAGATATAGATATTCTCCCCTAGACATGCAGAGTGAGTGGTAAAAGTCAGAGTAATGTACCTCCTTTGGGGTCCAAGTCCAAGGCTGCAGTAACACACAAGGAAGGAAGCAGAGTCATTCTTGGAGCCTGGCATGGCTGGTCAGGTTCTAACTAGGCTGCTTTCCCAATCTCCAAGTGCTCCCATCCAGGCCGGCCACCCTCCCCTCAGAGGAGAGCCAGAGTGCAGGTAGGCTTCCCACTGTCCCACAGATCCAGAATCCACTGCCTCCACTAGAAGGATCCAGGGACTGCACTGCAAGGCAGTGCAGAAGGATTTAGGCAGAGGGGCACTCACTGGAGCAAATTTGCCCACTGCCCCACCCAGGCTACATCCTCCCACTCACCCTTTGGTAAACCCTGGGCAAGAACGGACTTCAGCATTGCAGGATACCCAGGGCGGCCCCAGGAACTGGAACTGGTGTTTGCACATTTGTTCTCTGGAAGCAGAGAACTCAAAAGGGCAGATTGGGTCCTGGGTGGATATGGGGATCGCTGTCCCTTCACTATGCGAAGGGCCAGAGAAGGGGTGCAGTGGCCTTAAAGACAGTCCTCAACAGCTGGGGTGTATTGGGCGCATCAATCCCAGGCACTTGAGCATCAGACCTCCCTCCAGGGACGCATACTCACCGCTCAGCAGGCGACCCTTCGAACCCCGCGGTTCTGCCAGTAGCACCGCCAGCAACACGGCCTGCAGCGCTGGTCCCGGCTGCATTGCTGAACTCCAGTGCGTCCCAACACTCTGGGACTAAGGCAGAGAAGTGGGCAAACAGGCAGCTGCGTTCAGGCAACTGCCACCAAGGCAGCCGCATCTCCCAAGAACCCACAGACCCCGCACTGGGAGGAGTCCGGGAGGGCGCCGAGCCTGTTAGTTGGTTGCCCCTCCGCCTCCTGGGACGTCACTGCGGGGAAGACAGCCCCTTATAGGCTGGCCCGCCCCCCGACGGTCTATTGCTCCGTGTTCCAGGCTCCATCCAGAAACTGCTAGCTCAGAGGAGGGAGCGGGCAGCTGAGGCGGCCAACTCTCCAGAGAGAGCCGCGCAGGGAGATCCTGAGTTTGCCTAAGAGAAAATTCCGCTGGGGAATCTCTGAACTCCCAGGAAGAGGGTACAGTATCTTCAAATAGCATAACCTCTCACTCTCATCACTATACCCAGTTCTTACCAAGTGGGCCAAAGTGGCAAGACTCCTACTTACACCTCAGTAAGCATCAGACCCAGGCTGCACTTGGGAAGAAAAGTCGAGGATGAGGGGAATGGATTCTCAGGCAGGTGGTGTTTCTACTCACTAGGAGTGCTTCAGACTGAGGAGTGGCCACCAAAGCAGGTAGACCAGGAGTTCCTAAGAGGCCTCCACCAGAAGCTAGTGTTCCACATCTGAGCCAGAAAAGCCATCTGTTTTGTGCAGGACACATATTGGCAGTGGGAGTGGTTTGTGGAGTTTAGCTTTTGGTGGAAAAAAAATGACCCTTCCCCCCACCCCCATTAAAGCTTCCATAAGCAACCTAACCTAAGTGTACACTCTCCTTTGAACTCACACAATAGTTGTATTTAGTAAACGTGTTTTCAAATACAATCAACCAACAGAACCAGTCTCCTGTCCAAAACCAACAAAAACTGTGGACTAAGTAGAAAGCCAAGGTTTCTTTGCCTTTCCCACTAGGCTATGGTGTTGTAAACCACAGCAGAAGCCACATCTGGGCTATGAATTTCTGGATTTTGGTTCCAGTTTGCTTTTCTTTACCTATTTATTAGCTTTTCAGAAGAACAGTCAGAAAAGCAGAGGTGAGGCTGGAGAGATAGCTTAATGGTTAAGAGGACTCTTTAGTCTTGCACAAGACCTGGGTTTAGATCCCAGCACCAGCTCTAGTTGCAAGGGACCTCTTGCCCTCTTCTGGTGCAAAGGGTCACCAGGCTCACATGTGGTGCACGTGCACACATACATGCAGGAAAACACTCATAACACAAGATGAAAATGAATCTTTGAAAAATGAAGCAGTGATGCTCCCACAATCTTGACCTACTGCAGTTCTAAAGAAACAGGCCCAGAAGTAGGAACAGGATGTACCTCAGCTTCAGCTGAGACTGTAACAGGAGCTGTTGCAGTGGCAGAACACAAAACGGCAGGTGAGATGAGCAGCTCTTCCTTGTGTTCTGATTAGAATATCTCACAACAACTATTCTTCCTAGAATGTCTTGGTCATCCCAGCAAAGCAACAGCTGTTGTGGTGGTGGGCGCTGAAGTGGCACCTGATGCTCTGTTTGGAGTGCCACCTTTCCTCAGTGTCTGTGTGACTTTTGTCATTACCATTACGTTTCTTGGATTACCTTAAGATTTTTGTGATGGACCATCAAGGAAATGTATACTATATGTAAATGTGCAGTGATATTTGTCTTAACGTCAATTTAATTTTTTGTCTGATATTACAAGATCTGCTTCAACTTTGTTTCAAATAGTTAAATTGTGTCTTGAGTTCTTCCTGAGATACTCTGACTTTGGTCCATATTGGCTTCATTGGCATATACAATAAACTGAGTGAAGTGACTTATAGTAATAACCCCAATTCTTCACACCTTCTAGGATACACATCCTTTATTATGCTAATACACTCCCTCTTACTAATGAGGCTGAATGTTTCTCTATGCCAGGAGACATGATTAGTCCATAGACTAAATCAGAATGTTATGAGCCTACAGCAGAAAAGTTCTTTCATGTTCTGCTCATTCTCTTGCATCTTTTGATTGACAGAACATAGCCCACTGGCCCATGAGTGTCCCCAAGAGGGTGCCTAAGTCTGTTGAAAGGCTTAAAGTGTGACAGAACTGCTTTAAGTGCACTAAAATCAGATCAGTTAGACCATGAGCTGACCTTCATATAAGCAATAGTAAAGATTGCTTTACAACTTCGTTAAGTAGTACTGTTGCTGTAATAACAACTGTTATACCTGGTAACACAGGGATGTGTCACTGTGGGAGGACTAGTTGCCAAAAAAAAAAGAAAAACAAAACAAAGCAAAAAAAAAAAAAAACAAAAAACAAAAAACCAAAACAAAAACCTCACAATGTATAATTTTTCTTCTCTTTTCTTTTTCCTTTTTTGCTAGAAAAGGTTTCTCTGTGTTGCCCTGGCTGTCCTGGAACTCACTCTGTAGACAGTATGTAATTTTTCTTGGTAAAATTTCTTTGGCCCAAGATCCATTCTTCAGCTTGATGTGCTTGAAGTTAACTAAAAGACCACCAGTTAAAATGCTTGGTGTCAGTGTTTCACATTTTTGGAATGTTTGCACATACATAATGAGATGTTTTGGTGACAGGACCCAAGTTCAAATGCAAAATTGTTTCCTATACATTTTTACACATAGTCTGAAGATAATGTTCTGCAATATAATATTTTTGTTTTTTTTATGTGTGGTGTATGTACTTGTGTGAGTATGTACTTGTGCATGAATGTATGAAGGCCAAATACTAACATTGGGTGTCTTCCTCTACATATTTTACTCTCCATATTATTTTTGAAACAATATCTTGGATGAATTTGGTGCTCACCAATTGCCTAGATTGTTAGGCCAGTGAGAGCCACGCCATTCCTACAGATTCTCCAGTCCCTGCCTCCAAGTCTGGGACCCATATGTTCTCATGCTTGTGTGAGAAGCGCTCATGGCCACTGAGCCATCCCCCTAGCACCTTCTACAAAATTTTAATGCCTATATTTTTATTGAAATCCTCATATGAGGCCAAGTACAGAATTTTCTATTTGTGGTGTGATACCAGTACTCAATTTGAATACTCAACCTTGTTCTGATTTCAGGTTTTTGGATGATGGCTGCTTAATATGTTTACACACAAGAACTATAAATCTAGGGTAAACCGATGCTTGGCTTGTGAAGCATATTGTCTTCCTTTAGGCAAGGAAAGAATCCCCAGTGAACATGGAACCAACACAAAGGTTATTAGTTACATGATTTTAAACTTTAGGCTTCGACAACCTGCTTTGTCAGTCTTCACAATAGCCACCTGTCTGATAAATATTTCAACAGGATATGATACCTTTTCTTCTTGACAGTGAAGAGTGACAAATCCTTAACCTTCTGTTTTCCAATATATACTAAAGGAAGTAGGCTTTGAGTGAGGTGGGTTGGCAATGGGGTTATGCACCTGTGTATAAATCATAGCCATGCTGAGACCATTATTCATAGGTCCAGTAGCAACTCAGCCCTGGGTTAAGGTCTGTTCTAGAAATGGAATAAGCCAAATTTTGGGATAGGGATATTATTAAGAGAAGTCTTTAAGTTTTTAAGAATGCCTTTTCATCCTTATTTTTTGCTATAGTGCCCAAGTTAGGTGGCATATAGAACCTCATATTCTTGCTTATTGAATATTCATAATACAAATAAAATATATAAACCCTGGAAGTACTCTTTAAATAAAAGAAAAACAGGAGTTTTGGATGTGTAAGATGAGAAAGATGATTACAGAATGACGAAAACATGGTATGCAATAAATGGAATAGATATAAATATTCAATAACTGACAAAACCCACCTGTCTGTATTCTTAACTTTTATTTTAGTCTATTTTAACATGAATGCTAGTAGTTGTCAAATTTCTGGAATCTGCATATCTTTTACCTAGTGATTCTGATGTTAGCATAATTTGCTTCAAAGGTGAATACATGTCAGTCACCTGCTACCATATGTCAATCAGATCATCCCAAGGCTTTGACTTCTTCTTCTTCCTGTTTGTCTGACTCTGATGAGACTTCCCTGTAGGCAGCAAAAAGAGTCAGTTCCTATACAATACTATACAATAAAATGCAGCCATTATTATTACAATGTAGCAGGGGAATGAAAATTCCCTTTTGAAAATGTCCCCAGTAGGCAGCATCATGGATTCTGAATGTGTATTAAGAAACACATGTGAGAGAAATGGTTATCATACTGGGAAGTGTGATGTGAAGGGTGGAAACCATAGTCTCCTACCATAATTGATTTCTTAGATTATTCCTATATCCTATTACTCAGTCCCCCCTTGAAAATGCAAATATTACCAGGGAGAATACTAAATATATCACTGTTAAAGCATCAGTATGAATTTACTTTCTGTTATAAAGAGCACAGATTATTCTGAGAAGGACTACTGAGTGAGTGATTATAAGCCTGCAACATTATGTATAGGAATTTGGGGTAGAGTGGACAAGATTGAGGGAAGAGTACTTACAAAATTTAAGAAATATTTGTATGAGTTAGTGTACAGTATAGAGACATTAATTCCCAAATTAGCTAATACTTAATTATAATTATATGGGATTCCAGATTTTTTTTTAATTTTTAAAAAATATTTTGGGGGATTCCAGATTTTTAAAAACAAGTATATTCTAAATCCCAATATCCACTTAAGTTGGGTGATCCAATTTCTCAAGGGTCTTACAATATATTTATAGACAAGGCATAAAATTATGTAAACTGTTAAATAATTTGAGGATAGTGAGTTAATTAATTATAAAACATGGACACATAGTAGAGTGTGATTGCCAAAAGAATAGTACATAGGTTCTTTACATTCAGACGAAGATGCCACTGTGAAATGGAAAGAAACCCAGGCTTTGGGATTAAGGAGAGAATATATTACAAAAGAAATTAAGTGAGAATTTAAAAATTTAAAATTGCCTTTTAACCTTGAGCCTGAATCACAGCAATGTGATAATCTACAGTACAGATTAGCTAGGCCCATGATAATGGGACTGTTAACATGCACTTTTAGATGGAAGAAAGGGCATAAGATTCCCAGAAGACCCTTACAAAAGCCTCTTTGGGGTTCCACGTGATACTTCCTCATGCTCAAATGTTAAATTCTGTAAGAGCTATAAAACTGATTTGGGGTGGGAGTTAATTTTCATTGGTATAGCTGTTCTGAATCACCCCCTGCTATAGTAAATGACCCTACTAAGCTCATTTGTTCACTGAATTATGTTTAGGTTGTAAAATACTATATTTTTAGGCAGATCAACAAGGATAATAACTTGCATGCAAAGTCTAAGGTACCCAGACATGTCTGTGCTATTCAAACAGCAGTCTTTATCCATCATCTGGGTCAGTTAATAAGTCTTTCCATTAAGCTTTCTTCATCCACTCATAGGCAGTAAGTCAAATAATCTTTCTTGAAGGCAAGAAACTAAGTTATGGAGCATTATGTAGAAAATAGACAGGTAATTAGTGATTTAAAAAAGCTATGTAGACACAATTTCTTCAAGGCTATTTATTGACATTAAAGGAGTCGGATTCAACATTAATGAAACAGTCAAAATCTTATTTATTCTGCAACTGTTCTCTGAATACAGCAAGAAAAGAGGATACTTTCCAGAGTCCTATTAAGTTCCCTCAGATTCTTCTAGAATATGTTCCTGTCCCAGTCTAACAGTATTCTGTCACCAACAGGCTAATGTGGCCGCTCATCTATAAGAACTGGGTATGCTCTAGCAATGGCAGACTGATCACAGGAAGATGGACCTAGGAGGGCATGAAGGCAGGTGAGGCTAGCCTTGGGTGAGAAGGGGCAGGGAGGCACACAGAGGCTCCACTACCTACTCGCCACTTGGCACCCACACATGGGCACACATCCCTACAGGGAGAAGTGTGTTTGTTTAAGGCAAGACAACCCCAACACAGTGGCATAGATTTTTAGATTTGTTGGTAGGAGACAAAAACAAAAATGTTCTTTTAAAGACAGTAAATAAAAAGATGAGGGGTGTTTTGGAAGTAAACTTACTTTGCTTCAGGTACTTTGGCTTTGGCTTTATAAGGTAATGAAATTGATTCTTTCTAGAAAAATAGAAAAGGAAAATGCTCACTTCCTCTGTCTGAAGTTTATCCACTTGGAAACAGCCTAAGGTAAACTCATCACGGAGTCTAGAAAGACAAGCTTCTTACACCTAAGAACTATTCATTCAGAAATATAAGGATTAAAGACTTTGAGGCCCATTCAGGAGTGTGTGTTTGAACATGTGTATATTTCTAGTGAATATATATATATATATATATATATATGTATATATGTATATATATGTACATTTATATATGTGTTTTAATCACTTAAGTTTTTATTTTTGTTGTCTACAAAGAACAACCATTATAAAATCATTAGCAATGAAGTAGTCCATAGTAGTCCATATTAATAACCTACAGCTTTATAGCATATGAACAATAGATTTCCCAACATTCAGACCTTGTTCTGCTATCAGAGCTCTTCTGGAGCTCTGTATTACTTATGGGCTGTCCAGTTACTTAACTCAATTTTTCTCAGTCTTTGGTGCATAGAAGGTTCAAGACCTGAGAGCACAGACTTAAAGGGCCAGCCTGCAAAGCCTCAGAACATTCTCAACAGTCATGCAGCCACCAGTCAGCTATCCAATGTCCCACCACTACACTTACCGAAATTCTCTCTTCTCTTTGTTTTCTTAAGAGTTGGAGGATCTCATCTCTCTTTTTGGCCTATTTGAAGAAAAATAGTGAGCTTTTTGACACAACAATAAAGCTTGTATCTATAGAAGGTAGAATTTTTTTTTCTGGCATTAGCAGGATGTTAAAATATGTTTTCTACAATAGGTCTGTGCAGAATAATTTGGTTTTGGTTTTTAACCTACAGATTTTATTTGCTCAAAACAACCAACTTCTATTTAGACCTTACCATGTGAACTATCCTAAGATATCTAAAATAGTTTATTATGATTTTAACAATTCAGTCATGTCCTCCTCCATTTCACAGGTTGGGGAAGTGAGGCAGTGTTAGGTTAAACAATTTGCTCAATTGTTCAGTGGCACATTGGGCTTGATCCAGATATTGATGACAAAGTCTTAGCTTTTGGCCACCAAAGGAAACTGACACTAAATGGCAGTTAGGTATAGGGTCAGTAAACCCAGAGATCACACCTCACCTGAGCACACAACAAAAGAGTGTGGCCTTAGAACTTGCACTTGAGGACAAAGCTTTTTCCTGCACCTCTCCCCTTTTTTTCTTGGCTATCAGATTTCATATACTAGGTATGTTTTCATAAGCACAAAACCTAATTTATCACAGGCATGAAGACATATCAATGTATAAACTACAGAGCAGACAAACTTGGGGAAAAGGACATTCTGTTTAGAACAAGGCTAGAAGAAAGAAGTACAAAGTGAGACTGAAACGTGTTTTTCAGAGATGGGGAAATCTCAAGCCAAACTATCCATCCAAATGTATTGCACACTGTGCTTGGGCTTCTGTTTCTAGGCATCACACATTGTTCACTTTAAAATACCTAGTCTTGCAGTTCCAGAGGCTAGTAGTCTATATCCAAGGAGTGTGCAATTTCCTCTGAAATTGATGTCTGGGCTGCTTCCTATGGTCTAATGGTCTGCTGGCCATCTGTGCCATTCCTTGGCTTACAGAACTACAGTTTCTGCCTTTGCTGTCCATTCTCCCTTGTATCTCACACAGTCACCTGGGGAGGGGGTTGTGTTTATTTTTATTGTTATTACAATATTTATTCTACTTACAGAAAAAATTAATCATAAAACATATACCTTGCTGTGGAAGGAGTGACCTCAATAATCTCTTGTTTACTATGCCCATTTTAAAAGTTTTATTAGAACATATTACTTATATATATTGAGATTTCTCTATTACTGTCATATGTGTATATGCTGTATTTTGATCACATTCATCCTCTATTACCCTCTTATCCCTCGTTCCATACCCACTGATCTTTTTTTGTTTTTTTCCAGCTAGTCAAGGTCACCTTCTCCTTATGACTTCAGTCATATTGGATTCCAGTGTGAGTCCATCGAAACTAATTTCACCCACATCAACTGTATTTCCAAATCAGTTCTTTAAATAATAAATTCATTTTAATTCACAATAAGAACTTAGGCTGTCACACTCCTATGTTAGTGTCTGAACAAGACACAGTTCCTGTCTGGAAAGAGACATGGCACTTATGAAGAAAAAGTGGATAGTTTGTAGTGCTCCATGATGGGTGTAGTAGAGCACACAAGGCCAGAACTGAGATAAAGAACCTTCATTCACACTAGGGTGTGTGTGGAGCCCAGGATTCAGAGATGTAGAGGGGGTGGGTTCCATGATGGAGATAGGCAGGATAGGGAAACAGCTTTTGAGACAGAGGAGGCAGTGCACAGCTCTGTCCAAGTGGCAGATGCTAGCTCATCGAGGTGGTTCTCCAGTCTCCATGGCTCAGCTGAAGGAAGCTTTGATGATCCCTCATGGAAGACCTCACCCTTCCATGAGGGGGGCCTGTGGGGGGGTATGAGAGGATGAGAAGGAGAGGGAAGTGGGATCGATATGTAAAATAAGAAAAATATTAAATAAAAAAGGAAAAAATCCTCCTATAAGCAACATTTTATAATTCTTTTCTGTGTAACTCTTGAGACATCACAGGAAGTTAAATTCTCACAAAAAATTACTAATCAGATAAAAAATAACAGGACAAAAATATATTCGTTTTTTCTTGGCCTTCAGCCCCCCCATTTTTTTTTTATCAGAATAGATTTTAGTAACTATTTGGTTCCTGCTTCCTGGACATGTTTCCTGGGAATGAATAACGAAACTACTGTAAACAATTATGTCCTCTGAACAAAATGTTGTGAACTATTCTAAGAAATTTCTTACAGGAAAGCTAAATGCAATTCAGTAGTGAAAAGAAATCCTTGCAATTTACATCTTGTTTTGGATGAGCTATTTATTGGAAGTTCATATTTGTAGAACATTATATTTAATTCCTAAAATAATACATAAGGCGATTATGATTAACATTTAAAACATTACCTTTGGTAATTAGTTTATACTTATTTATGCTATTTCTTAAAAATAGAAGATAAAATTTGACTACATGAAATTAGAATATGATGATACAATATATACATTTAGTGTGGGATGGGTGGTTAATAAATTTTTTTATCACTCTGGAGTTAAAGCATTTAGTTCTTACTTCTTGGCTTTTCAAAGCCAAGCAATTTAGTGGCAGCATGGGTTAATTAAGTCAGGTAAGTTTGGCGTTGAATCCCAATTTTACATTGAGATTAATGACTTCTAATTCCTCCTTTCTTCCCTCTAGCTGTAATCACTAACATAGGTTAGAAGTTTGTGGTTTTGAGTAGATAAAAGGAACAGTTTCCTGAATCTTATTTTTCTTCTATGAGGAAAAGTTGTGAAAACTGGAGATGATAGAAATGCTTAATATAATGAATGAGTGGCAAATGGTAGTCATTTAATAAGTTGCAGGTATTAAGTATCATTATTATTATGAGATTAAAACATCTTTTAATCCTTTCAAACTGTTGCAAAGAATGGAAGGGAAGAAGAGAAGATCAGAGAGGACTTGAACAAATTTTCATTGAGTAACTTCTGGGCTTCAGGATTTGTGTGTTTAGTCTCACAATACTTTTTCATTTGTTCTTTTTCTCTCTCCCTCCTCTCTCTCTCTCTCTCTCTCTCTCTCTCTCTCTCTCTCTCTCTCTCTCTCTCTTCATCTTCCTTCCTTCCTTCCTTTTTTTTTTTTTTGTTTTTAGAGACAGGGTTTCTCTGTATTGCCTGTGTCTCCTGAGTGCTAGGATTAAAGGAGTGCGCCACCTCCGCCCGGCAATACTTGTTATTTCTTACACAGAAAAATAGACATCCTTATTCAGGGTCACTAAACCAAGCAGTAACTGACAAAACCCAGTACTGAACCCTGTTTTCAGTTCTAGTTGACTCCACACTCCATGCATCTGTTGTTTCAAACACCTGCTAGAGCTTTTGAAAGAGATGTGGGGACAGGTGAGAGGGAGGACTGACAGTCAAACTTCATTTAAAAAACAAAGAATCAGTATCAACTATTGGAAAGAAGACACAGTTTCTGTTATCACAGAAAATATTATGCTGTAGTAGAAAAATCATGTGATATGGGCCTAGATATCAGGGTCAGCTAATCCAGTTTTCGGTCATCCTTGATCAAAATCAATTTACTTGCACATGGTACTTTGCAAAAGCATGATTAAATGGTAAGGGTGTCATGGAAAAGTTATAGTGATATTTACAAACTGACAAGCTTTCTAAGATCACTGTTAATGTAAATGAAGTATTTGTGATGAGAGTTTTGATTATATTAACTAATAATGGAAATTACACTTCAAATTTAGAATGCTATATTATGCGATCTTCATTTTCTTTAGGTGTTATTTAATGTTTAATTTTGTGTCTGCGATCAGGAGTAAACTATGTCTGTGATCAGGAGTAAACTAGGATAATTCAGTTCTTATCTTCACAGAATCTTAACCCTTGTTAGAGCAAATTTCACATGTATGCTACAAATGCAGTCTAATGGAAGGTAAAACGTATAATTGACTTAAGGCAGATTATCACTAAAATAAAATGTTCACACATCTGGACTTGGTTTCAAAAGAAAAAAACTCTGCTCAGCATCACTCATGAACTTGCCATTCCCTGCACCTGCCAACTAGAATGTGCTGTGTAGACACTGTGTTTGCTGCAGTGTGAATTTATATTCACTACTGTAATAAGATGCAGAACTGTTAGCTCTCAAATAATCTACTGTTTAAAAAGACCAGCTGAATAATTAGTGAAGAGACTTTCTTTAGAAGCAATCTGAGTTTTGTAAACAGGACTGACCACAGTGATCATTACGAATGGACAGAAAACAGGACTGACTGTAGTGATCTATGAGAATGGACAGAATGTGATAGAGGGTTATTAATCAGAGGAGCAAGGATGCTGACTTGCAGAAAAAGATGCAGTGCTAAGACCATTCCATACTTCTTGGAAATAGATCTATCTTGGCTCAGTTTGCTCTAACATATATAAACTTCATTTTAAAAATAGCAATTTATTAAATGAAGAAACTTACAAGTCATTCTATGAGAATTAATACAAAACAATTTTAAATGTAGACTTTATAAAGAATATAGATTTCAATTAAGTATGAAAAAATCAATACCAATTGCCTAAAGAATGTAGCTCTTATTTTAAAACTGTCACCCACAGCCAAATGTGGTAGCTCATGCCTATAATCCTAGCATTAAGGAGGCTGAGGCAGGAGGATTACTGTGAGTTCCAGGGCAGCTTGGACTTCAGAGTATGACTGTGCCTCACTCTTCCCATTAAAAATCATCCCCCCCAAAACCAACCTCCACCCCCCCAAAACAATGATACAATGCTAATATGGTATGTTTTTAAGACTTCTTTAATATCACTTTAAAAAGTACATTTAAAGAATGCAATGTGATTGAGGAAAATATGAGCAAAATAGATAATATAATTTAAAATTTCAGAAATTACACATATACTTGGGATAGCTTTCAGCATATGATTGAAATATGTTTTGTTGACAATTTGATCTGCAGCATTTATCGAAATTTGTCTCTAGATGAAAAAGGACTACTGAGACTAATATTTCCACCATTCACAGACAGGGTGACTGTATGAATGGGATTGAGCTCATCTC